GGTATTAATATGAATATTAGTATCAGTATGAGTAAAATATGAGTATGAGTATATGTATCAGTATGAATACGAGTTGAGTACATACGAGTATGATTATGCATGAGTATGAGTATGAATATTAGAATGACAATGAGAATGAGAATGAGAATTTATACAAGTACGAGTATGACTTTTAGTATGAGTATAAGCATGGGCATGAGTATTAGTGTGTATGAGTATGAATATGAGTATTTTATAGGAGTACGGGTCTGAGTATTAGTATCAATGTTAATATAAGTATTCGTAACAGTGTCAGTTTGAGTATGAGTATGAATCTGAGTTTCAGTATGTGTTTAAGTATGAGTATCAATATGAGTATCGGTATGAGTATAAATATCAGTATCAATAGTAGTATCCATATTAGTATTAGTATTAGTATTAGTATTAGTATTAGTATTAGTATTAGTAATGAATATGAGTATCACAATGAGCATGAGTATGCGTATGAGTATGAGTATAAGTATGACAACGAGTATACGTATGCATAGTGTGAGTTTGAGTATGATTATGAGTATTAGTATGAGTATGAGTATCAATATCAATATGCATATCAATAAGAGTATCAATATTAGTATTAGTATCAGTATCAATATCAGTAGTATGACTATCAATATCAGTATGAGTATAAGTAACAGTATCAGTATGACTATCAGTGTCAGTATGAATATGAGTATCAATATTAGTATCAATATATATGTATCAGTATGAGTATCAATATTAGTGTACATATCAGTATGAGTATGATTATCAGTATGAGTTTGAGTAGTATGAGTATGAGTATGAGTATGAGTATGAGTATGAGTATGAGTATGAGTACGAGTATCAGTATTAGTCTTCGTATCAATATTAGTATGAGCATTGTTATTGAGTGTGAGTGTGATTCGTATCAATATTAGTATGAGTATTGTTATTGAGTGTGAGTGTGAGTGTGAGTGTGAGTGTGAGTGTAAGTATTATTTTTAGCATTAGCATGAATATTAGCATTATTAGTATTTGTACGAGTATAAGTATTTTAATTGTGTTTGTATTAGTATTGGTATTGGTATTATTATTAGTATTAGTATTAGTATTAGTATTAGTATTAGTATTAATATTAGTATTAGTATTAGTATTAGTATTAATATTAGTATTAGTATTAGTATTAGTATTAGTATTAGTATTAGTATTAGTATTAGTATCAGTATTAATATTACTATTAGGATTAGTCTTAGTAATAGTAATAGTATTAGTATTAGTATTAGTATTAGTATTAATATTAGCATTAGTATTAGGATTATTATTAGTATTAGTATTAATATTAATATTAGCATTAGTATTAGTATTAGTATTAGCATTAATATTGGTGTTAGTGTTAGTGTTTAGTGTTAGTGTTAGTGTTAGTATTAGAGGTGACATGTACAATTATACTTCGTAATTTTGAGAGTTAAGATTAGAGGTGGCATGGACATTTGATTTTTGTATTTAGTTATATGTTATAATTATTTTGCCGTCATAGATGTAATTTTCACTTAATGCTGATCTTACTGTATACTCCTATGATTTTTTTTATCAAGTTAATTTGATATATATTATATTTATTTCTTACATCTTTAAGTGATTTACTCGCTAGGCATTAATTAGATGAGTTCCACAATAAATGTGCTTTCAAACCCGACTTTGATAATTAAGTTTCAAATTAGCGACTCGAGTGTGTTGGTCGAGATAGTTGTAACATTTGTATCCATTAGTGTATCATATTTAATATCACATTTTTCATATTTAATATTTATATTGAAAGTTTTTAGTACGTACATTATTTTATCTATTTTTTTTAATTTTTT